TGCTGGCTGGGGAATTCTGGGAGTTGAAGTCCACACATCTTCAAGTTGCTAAGGTTGAGAAAGACTGCTCTAGGGCATAATATCAGAATCTTAAAAGCTTGCCAGAGTTTCTTTCTGCCCCATCTTATGCAAACAGGATCAAGGTGGGGTTATCTTGAGTTCCTTTCTCACACGTTCCTCTTCCCCAAGACTGAGTTACCATTAATTGCTCATTCATTTCTTCCCCAAGATCATCTCTACATCCGAGAAGAACCTTCAATTCTGGCTCTTCAGTCAGCTGGTGGATATGCTGAGGCTTAATTAATGAATTAATGAATGAATTAGTCCTTAATTCATGAATTAATCCTTGTCTCCATATTTACTTTATTAATACCCACACAGCCTTTAGGATCTGTAAATGAGGCTCTTTGGAAAAGGCTCGGTTTGTTTTGAAATCACCTCCCCATCTAACTCCTCAGTTATTTCATTTCTTTCTGGGAAAGGCCCCGTTCTTTTCAGAATTGTTTCTGTTTTTTCTAATTTACCTTCTAGAAGATGGGAATGGGAAAGAGAAGCAGATGGAAAATATCCAGAAGGAAGGCTCTGTCTCCGAAGGGGAAAAGGGGACTAAAAGATGAATGACCATCCCAAGAGGGCCTCAGTAACTAAGAAACAGAAATAAAAGGCCTAAATATATGGTTCATTGCTGTTCTTTTCTAAAGTTTATATTTTCTTTAAGAAGAACTCTAATGGCTACAATTGTGCTACATCTCCAAAGCTGAGAGTAAACTCCACTTCACTTAGAAGACTTACTTTAGAATGGTGCTTCTCAATCTTAGCAACTTTAAGATATGTGGACTTCAATTCCCAGAATCCCCCAGCCCACCATGCTGGCTGGGGAATTCTGGGAGTTGAAGTCCACAAATCTTAAAGTAGCTGAGGTTGAGAAACACTGCTTTAGAACGGTGTTTCTGAACCTCAGTAGTTGTAAGATCTGTGGACTTCCCAGAGTCCCCCAGCCAGGGGAGCTGGCGTCCCTTTCTTTTGGGCTGGCCGCACTGGAGGTTTGGACAATCTCTGACCTGGATT